CCCCCCCCCCCCCCCAATATTGATTTACCTCCGATGATCTTGACAATTGGTCATGTGACCCCATTTTCCTGAAAATGAGCAATTGTATCAAAATAAACCCAGAAATGAAAAGAAGCATCTCGATATTATTTCATCAATTTTAAATGCAATACAAATGAATTGTTTTGCATATTATTGTGTTTTAGATCTGAAAGCTCAGCACAATATTTGAGTGAAGCTTTTAGAGAGCGAAAAGTAAAGAAAACATATTGGTCTGTGGTCATTGGGAGCCCAGCTCAAGAGCAAGGAGATATTAGTGTACCTCTAAAAGAGCATGCTGTCAATGGACGATTTAAGATCACATTGAGTGGTGACGAAACATTGCATCCAAATGTTAGTGACATTGACCTGATTTATACCAGAGACAGACTATCTGTCTGGAAGTTTGTCTGATAATTCCCCTTCTAAACTTTTTTCAACCCTCCCCCTGTTGACTACCCTGGTTCCAGAGGTTCTTGTTGCCTGATGAAGTAAATTTAATTTTAAATTTTACGATACATGATAGATTGTAACTATAGATCAGGATGCTATCCATCGAAAAGGGTTATATTTCGATCTATTACAGAATCATCATATAACCAACTGATTGAAATACGAACGAGAATGGGGACCTGTTGAGAAGAATTTTGATAATTTTACAAGTCAGGCAAAATGCAAAAAGTCAGGCAAATTTCCTTCTCCCCCCCCCCCCCCCCGATTTCCCCCCTGTCGTACGCCTATGTTGATTTCTGCAACCAAAAATGGGGAAAAGCAGGAAACATTTTACAAAAGTTTATATATTCAATAACTATATAGATGATGTGTATATTTTGTTTTAGGCAACAGACAGCAGACCAGCTTACACAAGATACAATGTGCTGGCCCAGAACAGAAACACATGCTCACTCTTGAAACTACAGCCCACAACAGGATACAAACATCAGATACGTGTGCATCTTGCACAAGGTCTTGGCACACCTGTATTGGGAGATCATAAGTATTCTTCTGAAAAGCAACAACCACAGGTAAATGGCAGGGGTGAAACTTGAGGGGGGTAGGGGAGGGGTAGCACCCCCCCCCCAAAAAAAAAAACCCACCAAAAAACCAACAAACATGTATCCAGATTGGCAGGGCAATCAAAGATTTTAAATGATAGAATGTAGAGTTATCAAGTAACTTATTACAGCTAGCAAACAATAAGCAGTTTGTATGCATGTACATTGGCATCGGCAGACAATTATATACGTAGCTTAGTGATGTATTGCATTAGCAGGGTATCATTGGTTTTGGCAGGGCAATTCTGCCAGACACCCCCTAATTAGAAGGGGCTAGTTTTGCCCCTGGTAAATGGTAATACCTAATATTACCATTATGAGAATCAGCAATAATAATGTACAAAACTCCGTAACTCATGGGAAAACAATGGGTGATTCCTGCTATGCCTATAGACTAAATTTTGATCAAGGCAAGAAGAACGAAATCTAACGCCACAGCCAGAAAGAGCGTCTTAGAATGAGTAAAACTGCAACGATTGGTTGGTAATTGTTGTAAAATGAGGAAAATATAGACCTGTGAAGTTCGCAAATTTTGTATATATTTGTATTACGGCGCGGTAAAAATAACCACTTTCGGCTCAAAAATGGTTATTTTTCCCGCGCGTAATGCAAATATATACAAAATTTGCGAACTTCACGGGGCTATATTTCCCTCATTTTACAACATTTCGCAACCAAACTTTGCAATTTTACTCATTTTAAGATGCTCTTTCCAGCTGTGGTAATGGTTTTCGTTCTTCTTATCTAGATCAAAATTTCGCCAAAAGCTGGAATCATCCATTGTCCATTGATTGTGTTGAAATTTTGGCGAAGTCTCGTCAGGGACGCCGGAACGATACTAGGGAGCTTTAGATTTGACTACGAGTACGACTACGAGTACGAGATTTGATCGCGTGCGAAGAAGTTACCGTAGTCGTTCTCGTTTCCATTCAAAGGTTGCTTTTATAACAGTAAATCAACAACGAG